CTATAATAATAATTAAATTATAATAAATTAAATAGAAATTTACTTAAATATCTTATTATTATTCATTTTCTAATAAATAAATTTTATTTAATAAAATTTAATTACTTTTTTCCAATTAAAGAGTTCTGTTTTATAAATTAATAACTATTTATTATAAAGATTATACTCTAGTTTTTTTTATTATTAACTAAAATCTTATTAAAATTATTAATTATTAATATCAAAATTTAAAACTGTATTTTATTTAATAATATTTAAATTATTATTATAATTATTATTATTATTATTATTATTATTATTATTATTATTATTATTAAATATTTTCATTATTTTAATTTATTTACCAACTTTTATTTTTTATTGATCTTTTATTAAAGATAATTAATTTATTTTTTATTCAATATTTATGAGCTAAGATTTAAAATCATTATCGTTTAAAGATTTTTATTTCTTAAGTTTGTATTTAATATTTTTCCATTTAAAATTATTTTTTTATTTGCTTTTATTATTAGGAGTAATTGAATATTATTGTTTTTTCAAGTTCTTATTTATATTTTAGATACTATTGTGATTTTCATTAGAATTTCTTATTTATTCATTCTTGTTTCTCGTAGGTAAAGTTTAGTATGAAAATTTTTTTAAATCTAGTGAATTTACATAATCATTTACATTCTCAGGTATAGTTTAAAGAGTTATAATTTATTAACTTTTAATCTTTTAACAAAAATTATAATTTTTATTATTTTTATTAAAGCAATCACTTTTATTTTTATATTTACCAAAATTAAAAAAATTATTTACATTATTATTATTCTAAGTTTAATTATTTTTACTTAAATCTTAGTCTATTGTTTCTATTATTTATTCTTTATCATTAATTTACTTGTTTTATATTTATTCAATCATTTATTAAGTTACATTAGGATATGATTATGTATTATCAATTTTTAAATTAACTTTTTATTCATTTTATTATATTAGATTTTATATACAATTTTTAAATTCAAATTATGACTAAGTCCTTCTATGAAAAGTTCTTTTATCTAATTTTTATTCCATTTTTTTTGTATTTATTTTTATTCTTACTCTTTATCTTTTATATTTGCCTTATTAATTTTAATTTTTTTATTATTGTTTATATTTTGGGTTTTTTTTTTTTTTTTGAGAAAAAAAATAAATTAAATTAATTATACTTTATTTTTATATATTAATATTTTCAATGATAATAAACAAATAATAATAGTTATAACTATTTTCATAGTATTTATTTTTAAATTCATATAAGAGTTTATTAAAATTATTTAAAAATATTAATAAAAATATTTAATAAATTTTGAAAAAATAAATTATTTTAAATATTTAACTAAATAAAAATAATTTTAGTTTAATAATAACTTTCGATTCAAATAATAATAGTAAATATAAATTAGATTTTCTATAAATAAATACAAAATATATTTATTTTTTAATCATTTTTAATATTAAAATATTAAATATCTCATAAATTTTTTAAACTCTGAAAAAAAAAACAAAACATTAATAATGACTTCATTTATTTTCTCCATCAAGTTTTTAACAAAAAATTAATTTAAAAAATAAAATACATTAAAATAAATAATTTGATTATTTTTTTATTTTAAAAATTACAAAAATAAAAATTTAAATTAAATTTTCGAGTTATAATATAATATAAAAAAAAGTATAGAAAATATTTATTATAGAATATTTCATTTGTTTCTTAATTATTTTTTAAAAAAATCTCAATAAATTTTATAGTCAAATAAAAATAATTAAAAGGAAAATATTCATATATGATATATATTTTATTTATTCATATTTATAACTTTATATATTTTAATATTATTTTTAATTTAATTTATGTATTATTTAAAAAATTAATCATTTAAACAATTATAATATTAATTTTGTATTAATTTAAATACTTTATTTTTAATTAATCACAATAATTATTTTTATTAATATAAGATAATCATAAAATGTAAATATTATTTATAAAATATAATTTTATGAAACAATATTATACATAAAACATAAATTTATTATTATAATAAAAATAAAAATATTATAAATATATTATTTTTATTTTATTTATTATATTTATATGTTAAAATATTCTAATCAAATTGATTTTTTTTTTTGAGAAATATATTTTTAATAAAAAAATTAAATTAAAAATCTTTTTTTTTTTTTTTCAATTAAAAATATACATATATATACATAAAAAAAATCCAAAAAGATGAATATGCCAATAGTTCATTAAAAAACTAAAAAAATTAACAAAATAATTTAATTTATAATTTTAAGATTTACACAAATTATCTAAAGTATTATAACTAAAAGAATATAAATAATATATTATCAAAAAAATTAAAATTAATTAAATATAGGTAAATTTGCATTAATGTTAATTAACATGTTACTAAAATAAAGAAAGGAATCGTAAAGAATCTGAAGCATGTGCATACGGTTGTTTATTAAAGCATTAAAATTTTCTATAAAAAAACTAAGAAATATTTAAATAATGTGATGAAATTTATATGAAACAAATATAATAATGCTAAAAAGATAATGAATGTATATAATATATTTTTAGTTAAAAAAAAAAAATTGTTAAATATCTAAATAAATGATTTTATTATAAAAATTTATTTATTATAATATTTAAAAATAGAATGCTTTTAAAATGGATTAGATAAATACTTAAATTGTTTAAAAAATAAGGAAAAAGAAATAAAATAAAATTATGAAAATGCAATAAAGATTGTATGATTATTTAAAATATAATAATTACCTTAAATAAAAAACAAAAACTATTATATGTGTAAATTAATTATTATAAAAATTAAAAACTCATTCTAAACACAATTTTTTATTTACAATAAAAAAATTAAATAAAATCAAACAAACTATAATTAACAATTTAATATGAAAAATAAAAAATTAATTATTTTTATGAATTCTATAAAACAAATCATTGTTAATATCAAAATATATAAAATAATTCAAGTTATATAGGTAAATAAGGATATAATTACCTTTTACAAAACAAAAATAAGATTTTAATCATTTAATATCTTAGAAGATTAGTTAATATATTTAATACAATAATATATTAAATGAATTAAGACTATATTTTTTGAGTAAGCAAAACAATACTTGTACATATATAAATAAACTTTAATAAAATAAAATATTCATCTATAAAATATATTATAAGATAATATAATCATAATTTTTTTTCTTTTTTAAAAAAATAAACTTGAAACTAATAAGTTTATATACATATAAATAAAAAATTATTTTTTTTTTAAAAAAAAAAAAAGCCAAATTTAGAAATAAAATTTTATAAGGAAATAAAGTTATATATTTTAATTACAATAATTAATATAAAATATTGTATAATTAATTAAGAATGGATTGATTATTATATAATCTTTAAAAATATAAATAATAATTTTTAGTTCAAATAAAAAAAAGTATTTACCTTCTAATAGAAAAATAATGAATTTTTATAAATTCGAATAATACACTCTATCTATATATGCTTTTATTCCTTTTAAAATTAAAATTTTATATTTAATATAAGGAAAGAAGTTAATAAAATAATCTTTAATGATATTACTTTTGCATTTGTGAATTTAAAATATAAACTTTAATTATAAAATACGTATTGATTTAATTTTTAGAATATTTTTAAGATTGAAACGGGGTATAAAAAATTTGTCAAATTTTCAAAATTGTTTGTTAAAAAGGATATTATTATTTTTTAAAAATATTTGAAATAAATTAACATTTTAATTTAGAAAAAAAAGATAACTATTTTTTAAATATATTTATATATTCAATAGAAATCTATTATTAATAATATGTTTATTTTGATTTAATTATATTTTATATAGAAAATTTAATATAAAGTATAATATATTTATTTTTATCAACTATAATATATATATTAATTAGAATAAAAGAAACTTAAAGAAATAATTGTAAATCTATGATTATTTTTTTAAATTTTATGATTAATAGACTTTATTATTTCAATAAATGTTTAATTTTATAACAAAAAAATAACTAATATAATCTATTTAAACAATTTTTTAATTCTAATTTATAATATAAATTAGAATTAATGATTTATATAGTTTCTTATAAATGAGAACATAATAAATATAAGTACAAAAATAAAAAAATTATAATTTAAGATTTAATTGAAACATTTTAATTTAGATTAACATAATAATAATTATGTAATGAATAAATGAAATACGAAATACTATTTCTAATTATAAAAATAATAAATAAATTACAATTAAGTTATTAGTTAAGAAAATAAAAAATATATAAAATAAAATAAAAATTATTTAAAAATATTTGCAATAAATAATATTAATATATATTTAAAATAAAATATATATATATATATATATAAAAATAAATATTTAAAAAATAATAATTTAATATACTTTCTATATATTTTATTTAAAAAAATATAAAAATATTTATTTAAATACATTTAATGATACTAATTTACTTTTTTTATTTTTAAAAAATAATAAATTTTTATTATAATAATTGTGTTGTAATATAATAAGAAATTATTTATAAATTATATTCTTATAATTAAATAATAATGTATTAAAATCTATATGAAAGTTTTTCAAAATTATTAAAAAAAACTTAAAAAATTAAAATAAATATTATTTTAATATTTATATTAATTATCAGGAAGATATAATAATAAAAAAATAATCGCACAATAATAAAAAAATTATTCATTAATATATGTATATATATATTTTATGAAAATAAATTTTATTTTTTAAATTTTATTTAAAAAAAAAAATTATATTATTTTAAAGGAAATAAAGAAATGTACAAAAAAAATATTTAAATAAATACATTATAAATAAAAAATAAAAAATATACAAATAAAAATATACTATAGCTATTAAAATTAAATAAAAAGCAAAATTATAAAAATGGCCGAAAATCAAAAAGAAAGTATAAGAAAAGCAAATGAAGATTAAATGCTCGAAATAAAAAAAATACTACTATAATTCGTCCATTTAGAAATAATAGAAAAAATAGGTCAAGGTTCATTTGGAGAAATATATAAAGCCATAGATAATAAACGTAAATGCTGGGTAGCTTTAAAATTCGAAAAAAATAATTCAAAACAATTTTTAACAAATTCTTTAATAAAAAAAGAAGCATAAATATTACTATAATTAAAGGGTCTTTAGTATTTCCCACTTTTATATGATATTCAACTAAATGAAAAAAACTCATATAATTTTATAGAAATGACTTATTTAGGTCCAAATTTAGAATAATTAAGAAAAAAAAGTATAACTGGTTAATTTTCAATAAAGTCCACAGTCCAAATAGCCATTTAAATAATATCAGGTTTATAAAAATTACACGAGAAAGGGATTATACATCGCGATTTAAAGCCAGAAAATTTTGTTATAGGCCCTGAAGGGGACCGTCACCAAATATACATAATAGATTTTGGATTATCAAAATATTATATAGATGTAACTACAAAAAACATATTCCTTAAAAAATAATAAAGGACTAGTTGGCACTGCTCGATATACAAGCATTAATTCACATTTAGGAATTGAATAAAGTCGAAGGGATGATTTGGAAAGTTTAGCATATCTTTTATTATATTTTTCAAAAGGATCTCTTATTTGGCAAAATCTATCCATAAAAGACAAAAATGAAAGGTTTAAAAAATTTCAGAATTAAAAATGAAAAGTAGTCATAATGATATGTGTAAAGGATTACCGAATCAATTCAATTATTTTTTAACAAATATTAAAAAATTGGGTTTTGAATAAGAACCTGAGTATGAAAAATATAAAGAAATGTTTAAAAAATGCATCGAAAATTTCGAAAATGATTAATGTTTTGATTGGTGTCCGATTAATTGTCCAATTAAAAATTCGAGAACAGAAAATAAAAATTATATTAATTACGCTGAATCTACACTTTTTATCAATAAAAGTAAAGATAAATAAAATCACGAAATTTTTAAAGATGATGATGCCTTTTTTGAAGATTTTAATAATTTTGAGCTTTATAGTAAAAATGAACATATTAAAATACCAGTCTTTACCTGCTAAACTAATCATAAAAATGCATTTATGAATGGGTAAAGTTATATAGAAGCAAAATCTATAGGTAATATTTTATAAAATGCTAATACTTCATAAAATAATATTTTTACAAGCACGTAAGATATTAATAATTTAAATGTTTAAAATAATTTATTGACACTTAATAAAAGTAGCTCTGTAATAACTTAATCTTCTAATAATTGGAATTCTGAATATGATGAAAATGTTAAGGCTTAATAAATAATTCCTTTTAATTCTATAAAAATGAATAAATATAATTTTTGAAAAATAATTGTTATTTTTTTTCAATTTTTTAAAAAAAGAAAGAAATTAAATTTAAATTTATGTTAATATAAATAAGAATATGTAATTTATAATTGTTTATTTGATTAATAAAAGTTTGTTCTGTATATAAAATATTTTATTATTTTCTTTAAAATATTAGAAATTGAAATATATATTATTTTTTTAAATATATATACTTATATATAAAATAATTATTTATATATAATATCAGAATTTTTAATATAAACTTTCTTAATTAATTATATATATTAAATCATCTAGATAATATATTTTTTTATATGTTTATATATAAAAAAAAAAATTATTTGGTTATTAATATTCATTTAAATTAGATTTCATTTTATAAAATTACAACTTTTTAAATTTATTTATTATATTTTTATTTTATTTTTTAGTTTTTAATGATTTTATTTTAATCTTTCTTTATTAAATAACTATAAATTATATTCAAATTATTAATTATATTTATTAGGAGATTCATTATTACTACTATAAGAGTCACATCTATATTTTTATTATTCAAACTTTTTATGATATATAGGATTGCATTTTAATTTTTTTCTATGGTTATCTCTTTATTACTATTATATATCATCTTCTAATATTTAATCCTCTACCATATTAATATAATTTTATTAATTTTTTTCACCCAATAAAAACGTATCCTTGTCTAACTTTTAACTAGGAAGTTCTTATAGACTTTATATTTAGAGCAATTTAACTTCTATTTAAGACAATTAATTATAATGTTATAAATTAGATAACTCGTCATGATTTTAAATAGAAAAAATTTCGTATGTTACTTAATCATCAATATCTTCCATTTCTATTAATTTAATAATTTTATTTTTTTAAAAAAAAATAATAAAATATGTATATACAAATTTTTTAAAAAACTAATAATTTAATATACAAATAATTTTTATTTATTGGATTTAATTATTAAATTATTAATAATTTAAGCAATTAATAATTATAAATTAAAAAATTTATAGGAAACCATAAAAATACATATAACTTTAAAATAAAATAAATGCTTTTTTATTTTTATGGAAAAAAAAAAAAAAATATTATATAATTTCTATTTTTAATTTTTTCATATTTATTAATAATTTTATCTCTTTATTTTTAATAATTTCAACATTAATTTGTATTTATTTCTATTCATTATTTTTTTTGCTAATACTTATTTAATTTCCAATTAAAAATTATGGTCATTTTACAAACTCTAACCACAATATTTTCCGCCATTAACCCTAATTAAATAATTAATAATAAAAATGTGTTTTATAATTATTCTTTTACATTTTCTTATTAACCCCAATTATTGTATTATTTATAATTATAAATTACTTTGTGATATACTTTATAACTAGGGGAGGAGATGCGAATTGTTTATTTTAAATATTCTGTTTTTTAAATGTATTAAATTAACTTTATATTCTAATTCTAAGATTTTGTAATAAAGCATTTTATCTTTATAACAAAAATTAATTATTATTAATCATATTCTTAATCCTTTAGGTTAAAATCTGTTAAAATCACTTAAAAGCTACTATAATATTTTAAATTTTACTTAAATTTGCTACTAATTTAACTCATTTTATTATTAATAACAAAAAACATATTTATTTATTAATGATTTTTTCAATATTAATTATTTTTTATACTTTTAATTTTTCAAATTATCTTAAAATTTATTATTTTTTAATTATATAAATTTATGTTTGATTCTTTTTATAATTGTTATTTATTAATTTTTTGTTTAAACATTTCTTCGGATTAGTTGCTCAAATTTTATTTTATTTTATTTTTTAAATATTAAAAATATCTTCATTATTAAATTATCTAAATTAGTTTATTTGAAAATAAATTACTTATATAAATTTTGTATATATGAGTTAAAATGTTTTACTATCTAACTTTATTTAATGTTTATTAATATTAAAAAATAGTTAGTTTATAATTATTTTTCTAATATATATAATATCAAAATATCAATTTAAATGTTATAAAATAAAATTATATTCATAAATATATTATTATTTAATAATAATCATAATCTTTATTATATATATACGCTTTTTTGGTCAGAAATATTTTTTAAATACAAGTTTTATTTATATCAAATAAAAATAAATAATATTTAGATGTTTTTTATAAGAAAAAAAACAAAAATATATTAAATTAATAAATAATAATAATTTTTTAAATAAAATAAAAAGTATTTTTATTTAAAGAAATTCTATTTATTATATTTTTAAGAATCATTAAAATTAATAATTAAAATAGTTCATTTTTTTTATTATAAAATAAAATCAAATTGCTTTTATAACTTAAAATTAAAGTCCTATTTTATTGATTTATTAATTTAGTTATTTGAGGAAATTTTCCTTATTTTCAATATTATAGTCCTTTGAAATTGGTTTGGTGAATATATTATTTTATTTATTTATAAAATTTAATTTAAGGAAATTATTTTTTACATTATTAAATATTTAAAAAATCTTATTCAAATCATTAATACTTCGAATTTTAAATACTTAATTATTTAATTTTTGACAAACTATCAATTAATCTTCATATAAATATATATATCTATAAACAGAATTAGATATAAAAGAAATAATTCCTTTAAATTTTTTGGGGTTTTTTAACATTTAAATAATTATGACTCATCTATAATTATTTTTTGATTTTTTTCATAATGAGTTTTTAAATCATTATCTGTAGATTTGTTATTAAAATTTTACATTTTAACAATTATTAGATTTTCATATTTTTAAAAAAATTAAATAATATTATTATCACTCAATTAATTTTATGTATTTTATTAATCTTTTTAGTTAATCTATATTATATTTTGTTAATATTTATCATTTTAAATTTCGATATTTTTATCTAAATGTATTTCTTTATCTAATTATTCATATTAAAACTATTAAATATTATTATTTTTTATCATTTTTATTAAAAAAAATATTTTATTAATATGTTGATAATTTATAAATAAAAAAAATGTGTATTTTAATTATATGTTGTAAATATATTATATATTTTAATTTAATATAAATAAAAAAAAATATAATTATTAAAAGATAAAATAATTTAAAATATATTCTTTTTATTTAATTTTTTTATTAATCTATATAATTTAAATAAAAATTTATAATTTCATTTTTAAAATTTGTTTTTAAGTATTATTTTTTCTTAAATAATTGATTTAAGCTTTAATAATATTATATAATATTCAAATATTATTTAATTTCAAAATAAAAATATGTTTATATAAATTATATTGTTTAATAATATAAAATATATAATTTAATATAATATAATATTATTATCTAAATTAAACTTTAGATATAAAATTTTAATATATTAGTATAATTATTCATAAAATATTATTATTTTTATTTTATTCTATAAAAGTACCATTAGAAATGTATATTCTTTTTAATTTAATTGATATTTAGTTTATACCTGACTTTAATTTATTATTAAAATATGTGTAATCATAAATTTTATTAAATTGAAAATAGTAAAGATTTTTTTTTAATTAAATGAATTGAGTTTTATTTTATTTTTTGTGGAAATTGAATTACTTTAAATATAACTAAAAATATAAATAAATAAAAAATTAATATAATTGATTAATAATAAAAGTGTAGTAAAAAAATAAAGTAAATATGTAAGTTAAAGTTATAGATAAATAATAAAATGAAATTAAAGATATGTCATTTACATTTACAGAATAAGAGCGATAGTTTTGCGAATAAATAATAATACAAAAATGTATAAATTCTGTAAATGTTATTGGTTATGATGTAATATACGAAAAAGATAAACATGCTGTACATTATAAAAAAGCAAAATAAAAAAATAATAATATATAAAGGTATATGTAATTGAAGTAATTACTAATATGTGTAATTTCAAAATTAATAGAAGATTTAATGAATTTCAAATTTTAAAAAAATGTGTAGAAAACAATAAAATTATTTATTTATTTTTTAGAAAAAAAAAAAAAAAAAAAAAAAATTAAAAAAAAAATTAAAAAAAAGTTAAAAAATACATATAAAGATAAAATTGATACTTCTAACTTTCCAAGTAAATTAAAATTAATTAGCAAATTTAATGAAAAAACTCTTAAATTAAGATAAACAATGTTTTAATGTATTAATAAAAAATAACTAATAATAATAATAGATTATTTGAATTTTTTTTTATTAAAAAGAATTCATTTAATAACTTTTTCATAAATTAGAAGAACTTAGAAATTATCATTTATTAAAATTTATTGATATTCATAGTATTTTTTAAATCAAATTTTAATTATAACTAAAACAAAAAAATAGGTGAATTTAAAAAAATGTCTATTGATTGTAATTTTAGAAAAACCATTGTTAATTAACCAATAAATACAGAAGGAGTAGTATCTGTTGTACCAAGAAATGAAGATGAAAAATAACTTTTAAGATATTTAATATAATTGAATTAAAATTAAGATCATATTTCAATAACTCTAAAGTATTTAAAAAAAAAAAAATTACTAAAGCCTATTTATTTTGTGTAGAAATATATAAGAATATATTATAAAATAACCAAAAATAAGTGGAGATATGATAGATTTATTAATAAAAGTATATTTATTATTTTTATATTATTAATTATGGGAATATATATATATAGGGAGAAGTTTAAGAAAATAACAAATTATTTAAAGGTTTAATATAAATATGTGGTTAATTATTTCCAAACTAAAATACAAAAACTAATAATTAGCATTTATATTGTGCAAAAGGTTTATTATTATTTAATAATTTGATGGAATTTGAGACTAATCCAAGTAAAAGTAATAATGATACATATATATATATATATATATATATATATATATTTATATTCATACTATTTTTATGAAAAAACTAAATTTAAATAAAGATTATGAAATATTCTTAAGTATTTTTTAAAATTGTTCGTTTTAATATCTAGCATATCTCAATTTAGGTATATTCTTATTAAATACATATATATAAATATATTTAATTAAAATAAGAAAAACATATTCTTGGAAGTGTTAAAAATTGTAAAAAGCCTGCTTTAAAAATTCTTTAGAAATATGTTGATGGTTTATTGTAAAAATATAATTCAAAAATAAATTCCCGTGATATATTTAAGAAATAATTTTAAGTGGTAAAAATAAAAATAAACATATCATAAATAATAAATTATATATTTGAAAAATCTATTTTATAATTTTCTTTTATTATTATAAAAAGAAATATCCTGATTAATTATTTGAAGAATTAGAATTATATTAAAATGGCTAGTCTAAAAAATTAAAAAAAGATGAAAAAATAGATATTGCACCTAATTTTGATTCTAAAACAGAAAATTATTTAAGTTTTAGTTATTATGATTTAGAATGGTTAAGTAATAAAAAATAAAAGCAAAAAAAACAATATAAATAAAGTATAATAATCTTTGACAACTAAAGATGCAATAAATAATAAAGCAATTCAATGGAAAACAGTATATGATATTAAAGAACATAAAGTGTGTTTATAACATTGTTATCCCGAATATAAATTTATTAAATTGACAGTTAATTTACCTGTAAATATAATTAATGCATTTCATCTATTAACATAAAGAAGAAAAGAATGGGAATTATTAGTAAAAATATAAAAAATAATATACTTAAATTTTATTTTTTTTAAAATAAAAAAAGTTAATAGAATATAATATATAAAGATGCTTGGAAAAAGATTGTGAAATTGCCAAAGAAAGTTATGTTTGGAATCATTTTGGAGCTAAAATAATAACTTTTTTTACAAAATAAACAATTGAAATATAAAAAGAAAAATAAAGAATATATATAAATAAAATAATGTATAATAATGATAATTATAATAAACAAACAAATGAATTTATTGGAAAATAAGATATTTTAGTATAATTATAAGATGTATATAAAAATAGAAAGAAATCTTCACTATCTTATTTAAAAAGTATTTAAAATAAACATAATTAAAAATATATTATTCTTTTTAATAAAAAAAAGGATCATTATCAGGTTATTAATCAGATAGTTGTTTTAATGATACTATAATTGGAAGTGATTTAGAAGATTCATGTATTTAAAAAAATCAATAAGTAAAAAGCTGTACTTTAATAAATAATAATAAAATTAATAATTTATCAAATTATAAAAAATTATTATCTTTTTAATTCAAAAATAATAATGAAAATTTAGAAACTCCTATTGAAAAATAATTAAATGATTTTATAGAAAATAATGATAATGCTTATCCAGAAACTTAAGTAACATTAATTATAAGAACATTGAATTAAGAAGCTTTACATTTTATAAGCAAATTTATTACTGATAATGACGATTCTTCTTTAGTTGAATCTTTCTGTTAGTTATATAAAATTGCATAAAATATGAGAAAAGCAAATCTAGAATCTAATGGAAATAATAGTAGAAAATGCTCTTTAGAAAATTATGGTAATAAAAATAATTAATATAATAAAGAATGAAAACATAATTATTTTTCCATTATATTTAATTTATTATATCTATATACATATATTATTTATATAATATTTATTTTTAAAATAAATTAAATAATAAAAATATGTATTCATATAATATATTTATATCTTTACATTTATTAAATATTAAAATTTAAATAAGTCAATAAAAAAATAAAATTGTATTAAAATATATCAAAAAGAAAAGAATATAATATATATATTATAAATAAATTCAAATATATATATATATATATATATACATATATAAATTTATATATTTATATATTTTTTTATATATATTTATATTCTTTTTTTATATATATATACTTTATATATTTTATATTAATATATACTATATTTTTTTTTATTATATACTTTTTTTATTTATTGCCAAAACAAAGGTGGTTTTAATAAAAAAAAATATTAAAAATTTTTATTATATCAATTTAAAATAAGTATTTTATTAGTTTATATATTAATGTTTCTACTAATTTATTTTCATTTCCATTTTTTTTAAATTTAAGACAGTTGATTCTATTAAGAACTAATAATTGGTGATGGATATCTAATTCCGTTTTTTTATTATTTTGATTACCATGATTGAATACAACAATTCGATTTGAATTACAATTTTTTTTTAATCTTATTTAATTATATTAATAAATAATTTTATTTAAATAAAATTATATATGTTTAATTTACAAAAAATATAGTTTATATATATTTAATAATATAAAGATTTTATATAATCTACCTTTTATAACAGGAGAAAAAGAACGTAATTATCCAGCATCACTTGAAGATATTTTTTTAACTTAATTTTCATAATTTAGTGCGTTTTAATTATTAATAAAATTATTTTTTAACATTTTATTATTTATATTAATATTATAAATGTTATTGTTTATTTTATTATTTTAACTAATTATAATTTGTTATAAAAAAGAATATATTTTTATTTTAAATATATCAAAATATTTATAAATATTACTTTTTATCTAAACTTGGACTTTATTCTATAATATCAATATTTGCTTTTACAGGCAAAAAATTATTTTTTAATTTTTTAATTTAATATTTGTTAATTTTTCTATTATAATTATAAAAAATCTTATTTTATTTTTATTTTTAAAGCAATTTTTAGTAAAAAATATCCATTTAATGATAGACATTGGTTTTACTATAAAGTCCTACTTTTTATTTATTATTATCATTATTTTTATTTGTATTTACAAAATTATTAACAGTCAAATTAATAATATTTCCATTAATTTAATTAATTTTAACTTATTATTATTATTATTATTATTAATATTATTATTATTATTATTATTATTATTACTATAATTATTATAATCGCTAATTTTCAATCTCGCTTTTATTAAGTTCATCTCTATTTTCTATACTTAATTTTTATTATTTATCATTTATAATTATTTATTACCCATTATTTTTATTAAAAACTTTATTTGAACCTTTTAATATAGAATCAAATTAAATTTGATTTTTTTATTTAAAATTTCTTTTTTATGGAGCTGGTGATGCTTTTCTTACAGTTTTATTTTATTTTTTTTAAAACAAAACTTCGTCCTACCAAAAAATTTTTTTATTTTTTTTTGTTTCTAATTTTATACGGCATTATATAAATTAAAATTATTCGTTAAATTAATATTCTTAGAATTTAAATAAGTATTCCGTAATAAAATTGCATCTTTATAGTCCTCTTCGTTCTCGAAATGTTCAATCAATTCTTCCTGATTCCAATTCCCACTGAACTTCCCTAAACCACTTTAAATTATTTGTGCTTCAAATTCTTAAAGTTAATGAAAAAAAGTAGCTCTAATTTCCAAATCAGGACGTCTAGAGTTTAAATAATCTAACGTTTTAAACAATGTCCATTTATATTTTAACATAAAATATACTGTTAATGCACAACAGGCCCTACTTTATCCCCTAACACTATGAACTAAACACGAATCTCCTTATTTATTTGCTTTTTCAATAAATTCAAGAATTTATCTTGCTGTTTTTTAATTTGAATCAAAAAGTATCTTTTTTTATTATATTTTTTTTATGTAATTATTTACTTGCTTATCTGATTCTTTCCAAAATAATGTTAAATATTAAATTCCGATGTTTTCCCATGTATTTGGAATTTATTTACCTGATGTATTAATTATATGGGTTACTTTATTTGATAAAATAAATTCTAAATCCTTTTTATTATTGATTTTTTTTTGTTTAATTAATCTTATTTATTTACACTTATTGATTCTTAATCTCCAATAAATAAACCGTCTTTTATTTTAATTGCTCCTATTATATATTAAACTTCTTCCATTTATAATTTTTTTTTCTTTTTATAAAATTTAAGATTTTATTGTTTTTTAACCTTTTTTTTAATTTTAATTATATTAAAAATAATTATATTATATATAAAAATAGAATTAAATTTATAAATTAAAAATAAATTTAATTTTATTTTTTATAAAATATATATTTTTTATATAAAGTAAAGTTTTATAAAAATATATATAAAATATTTAGATTGCAAAGTTTTAATTAAAAATAATATTTTTATAAAAAAATGAAATAATATTTATATATAAAAAATTGAATAATTAATAAAATAACAATTATAAAATTAAAAAATATAAATAATAAAAAATTATTATATTTAAAAATAAATATAAAAATAAATATTTATAATGATTTTAGATATAAATAAAATAAACATATTATAAATGCAATATTCAAATAATAAATAAAAAAAACATTAATTAATATAAAATATTATATATATCATTAAATAAATAATAATAAAAATAAAAATATAAAATATATATATATAATTTAAAATTATATAACATATGTTATATATATTATTATATATTATTAATATATTTAGTTTTTTATTATTTAATTATTTTATTTAATCTAATATTATTAACTTAAATATATAATTTTTA